GCCTTCAGCTTCTTTTCATCGGCGGCTCGAAAGGATCGCGAAACTCCGGCCTGGTAGAAGGGAACGAGAAGCGTTTTGTGCTGTCGCGTTGAAAGGGAGACTCTCCGGTTGCGAAAGCATCGGGAACGATGCCGCGGGCAATCGTTAATAATAAGAGTGTATTATAAGCCACGGAATCAAAGTGTAGCGTGCAATTACACGTCAATTCCGTCAACGTATTTCGTCACGCTGCAGGATGCCTTCGGTGACCGAAAAGGAACGCCCAATCTTTTCTCCCTGTACCGAGAGGTTGTCGCGTGTTTATTACTTTCTTTTTCAACTTTTCTCTTCTCCCCCTTTGAACCTCACTTTCCTAGGTATTCCCTTTGGCGTAGTGAGATTACTAATAAAATTAACAGCGAAGCTTCTATTATTCAATCTCTAAAGGAACATTCTCATAAATTTAATATTTTACAATGACAATTGGAAAAGTAACTTTAAAAATTCCGCGCGGCATCGTTCAAAGACCTCTGGCTTCCCAAAGATACCCACCAAGAGGTAACTTAATATAACTCCTGGCTCCATTATTCTTTCGAACGAAAGAGAGCAAATAGAGACAGCAGAGGGTTACATCGCACCCCTACGGTTTTCGTTTATTCCTGCGCCATTGTTTCGAGGCAACGTGCAACGTGGACCACGGGTCTAAAAGGCGCGTATAGGCGCGCGTAACACACGCACGTACGGTTTACACGTCGTGTAGAATGCAAGCTGCAACAGCGAACCTCGTCATAACGGTCGTCGACGAGGTTATGAGGAATACGGGCAACAGGACAGGCAGCCAGGGCCATTATTGTGCACGGACGACGATCTTTATGTTAGATCTTACACGAGGAGAACCCATGGGGTCCTGCGGCGCACGCCCATCACGCGGAGGGTGGCTGCGGTTTCACTATTTTTCTTACCCTCTTCCTTCCTCCTTCGGGAACACCGTAATCTTTCTTCTCGTCCTTTCTTCCATCTACCCCTCCCTTTTGCCGCCTCGTAAATCTCGAGGTGTTGAAACAGTCGAACGAAGGACGGGGTTTATGCCACGAGGGTAGAAAACACGTCGAGAAGAAACTTATGTACGACTTCTGTGCGCGGACCTATGAGCTTTCATTAATTTGATACATGTACATATACTTGTACAATTAACTGAACGTATGTCACCCCTTTGGTGGGGGTTAATCTGCCAGAAAGCCAGAAATTTTACTCTCGGCGGGGAAATCGTGATTGAAGGGTCCCGCTAGCGGGAGCAGCAACAGGTGTCAAGGGAAAAGAGTCTCCGGGAAGGGAAAATCAATCGTGAAAATAAACTACCCTTGTTCGTTTCTATATTACATATCAAGTACAACTCAAACAACATCCACGACTAAACTAAAATCATGGTAATCATCGTGTGCTCCAAATACTATTGAAAACGATCAGAGCTATCGAAGACCTATACTCGAAATGAGATCGATCATACTACAACCTGTCTCACAATCATCATCGTTGACAATTGACACGATCGTCGATCATTAAGGATCTTGTAGCTACAAGAACTCTCGTTCCGAATTACTTGCGTCTTTTTCTTTCGAACGATACCGATGGCTCTGTCCGACTCCCACCGGCTGTCCATCTGGAGAATGCCACGAGTAGGCTCATTAATTGGCCCCATTCGAGAGAAACGAAGGGAAAAATGTTCTAGCGGTGGCAAAGGCACGGTCGCCTTCTCTTTGCCAGTGGTTTCGTGTACAAACACGATCGGTTAGGTATTTGTGTGACGATAGGTTGGTAGGGGCGAACCCTAATGAGGATCCCCTACCATCGAGTGGCGAACGAGCGGCGCAAAGTAAATGAGCAGGTGCCTCTGGTATGCGCCCCGCCTACGCTTTCCACTTGCTCTTGTCCCCGGTCCGACTTGCTCGAGCAAGTCTCATCCTCGTCTTTTTTTCATGCCAGCCCGTAGATAGCATCGCGGAAAAGTGGTTCTTGATATATTACCAAAGTCGAGCGGCGCGGACAAATTATTCTCATATTCCCCTCCCTTCTGATCCGACCGGAACCGATTACATTAGAGTGCATTAGGCAGAATCTCGTGTCATAACTCAGGATTAATTTCTACGGGGGAAGACTAGTGGTGTCTTGGGTAACGAGTTATAGGAGTAACATTAAGATACTTCAGCATGGATCATTTAACAGGCTGTATTGCTTAATCTTCACGCTGCATAATTTATTTATTTAACGATCCATGGAAAGTTAACATTTTCAAGATATAATTCGTAAGATTCTTGGTGTCTTGGCAAAATTCTGATTTATTAAGTGACGGTGATTTTAAAGAGTCCAAGCAATTATTGTTTGCGCGACTCGTGTTCCTTCGGCGTGATTTGCACCTTCACTCATCGTCGGTCGTTAGACCTTTCAACCTTGAGAGGAGACCTTCTCAAGGTGAGTAGACGCCGCGACACGTCGCAGCTAAATCGGGAGGAGAGTTCTCGGAGCTAGACTCCTCTTCTAGGGTGTATAACGTACCCGTAAAGTGGTCTTCGAGACAGAGCAAACGGTCGCGCTTTTTAATACCAGCCAGGGCTGTGTTGCGTGTTCACTGTTCACGCATCGAACGTGCGGACGTACCACGTGTTTGCTTAAAATCTTGACGCATGACCGGCTGATTTGTTTTACCATTCTCAGGGCCGCGACTACTTGCCTGTCCATTCAAATAAATTTTAATAATCCTTCATTTCACATTTATTTCATTTCGATTCGATCATTTTTTGGTGATAGAGGAGGATGAAATTTGCAATTTGACTGAAATTCTTCGTTTTTCCACGTAAAACTGTGAAATTTTTAGCAAAAATCTCCTTTGCATATTCGAAAGTTGTGAGATTCGAATAAAATGAGTTCGAGTCTGTTAGTTTACCGAGAGACGAGTCATCGTCCGTCCTTCGTGGATGTTGCGCTATTGGTGACACACCGAGTCTCCCTCGTTTCCTTCTTCTCGATCCTCTTTTGTGCCTTTACTCCCGCTTCAGAGGACAGAGGGCCGTCCTCTACGGTCCTTCGTTCGTCGCGGTATGTAAATACGTGGAACGAGAAGGCTGCTCATCTCGGACGACCGACCGACCGCGGTGCATCGTATCGTATTCTGCCGCCATTTGTCTTCGCGATCCGGGATTACGTTACCACGATGATACACGATGACATTTATTTTGGGATTTGTACGGGTCGCCGTGGCCCTTTTCTCCACACCGTATCCTACGTGAAACGCGTCTTTCGTCGGTCTGCCTACGCGTTCCTCTTGTAACGAACGAGGAATGCTCTCCAACTGGAGTTTTCTTGTTATCGTGTAAACTAGACCGGTCAAAGCAACATTACACGTACGCGTACGGTTAAGCAGATCGAAGGATAAAGTAGTTTGAAAGATATTCGGAAGGTATTCGCGATTCTTCGAAACGACTCTTATCCAAACACGACGATGAAGGAAGATCGATGAATCGTCGCGAGCCGGAATTGAACAATCGCGTGAGAATTGTGTAAACGCAGATGCCCTTAAGAAGCCACCCCACCCCCGATTTAAGGGAATATAAAAAGGGAGCACGTGGCAAAGATCAAACAGCTGGATCATCTCGTGCGTGCGTGCGTGCATTCGTTCCTTCGTGCCTTTAGGTAAGGATCTTTTTCTTGCGGAAAAGGTGGGTACGCGTGCGACCCAGGTGCAACCTCGGCAACCTTCGAAGGCGTGCGTGACAATGCGAGTACGCACGTGTGGGATACGTCGTCGTGACATGAAAGTCGCTCGAAAAAAAAAAAGCACAGAACATCTTTACAAACGGCAGATAACGTTCTTGCTACCGTTTTGATTGAAAAGATGGCGTCGCATCGAATCAACGCGACCAATTTTCACGCTATTTTCTGAATATTAAACACGATCGATGCGGGCAAGGAATCAAGGAAGTCGTAACGAAATATCTTATTTATTATACAAGCGTAAAGTGAACCAAGAACGTCGTCACACGGGAGTTACGTCAACACAGAGTAGAAATTGGCAAAGAAATCAGGAAACAACAGGCTGAATGACGCGCCTATGTGCTTATATCTATGCATACGCCAACATCGTGTCTATAATTATGTTTGATTTTGCGGATCTCTCGTGGAACGGCCGCGTGGGTGGAATGTCGAGGAATCGTTTCGAAAGTGCAACGGATTCTTTGACGGCGTCATCGCGTCGATACTGATTCATTAAAGTTATTAATATAATCGATAACCTATCAGACTGCTTAAACATGAGAAAAAAAAGTTTACCAAATCGCAGATCTTCTCAAAGGATAAAACCCACGCAATTACCGGTTCAAGCTTTAAACTTTCATTAATATCCTCGAACGGTATTTTCTGCGAATGAAACGAAACTCGTTCGGTGAGATGGGAAACACGCGTGTTAAATATGGAAATGCCGCGTTAATACGTCGCAAATGAGCTGCGTGTAACGCTTAAAAGGAAGTAGACGAGCCTTGAATATATTCATGGCACACGAGCTCCTAAAATAAATCGACTTGAGTATTCTGCACTTTACGGTTCTCCGTGTGCTATTGGACTGTCGTGCCGGTTCTTCCGTTAAAGGAAAAAAAATAAAAAAAAAAAAAAAAGAAAGAAGAAGGTAAACACGAGTGTCTAGAAAAAATTGAAATGGTCGAGCGGCCACTTAGCGAGTACTCACGACATAGTGGACACGTGTCTAAAGCGTGGCTAGAACCTTAACCACGTGTCAATATCTCAAGGGACGATTATTTACAAAAGTCATAGAAGAGGCGAGACGCGTTAGACATTTTTATCCAAGACTTGGAAAGAAACCACCGGATGCTTATTACCGCCTACTGCGTACAAGTTAGAACATATATTCTCTTCGAATAATTCAAAAAATTTCATTTCATTACTGGCGTTTCGCTAGAGGATTCGCACTTGTTGCGCACGCAAACAAAGCTGTCAAATAAATGCAAACGTACCTCATATTTACTCACCTGATCGATGCGTGGAGAAATTGAGTAATTTATCGGGAAAAAGGGTTGATCCTGTCGAATGCGCGGGATTTTCATTGACGGAAAGGCAGGATATTCGTGTTCGGAAAGCTTTTGCGCGCGCAAGAACTCACCCTCGGCGCGTGGGCAGGCCCGAGTAGAGAAACCAGTAAGAGACTTCCCTCTCTGTCGTCTTGTTCTTCTCTTCCACCGTAGCTACTCCGCTAGGTTTCGCTTTCTCTGTCTGGCTATCGCTCACCTTGCCGGTAAAAACAGCACGAGGTAGCCGGTCGCGAGTATAAGGGTAGGGGGATAGGCGTGGTTCGATTCCCGTAGGTACACCGGGAAACGATAGTGTTCGTGCGCCCACCTCGCGCCTACTGAGCTCGGTTAGGTCGAGGCGAACACGAAGGGGGGCGAGTCTACCCGAAGATAGTTGATGGTGGGGGTAGCTGGCACGGGTTGCGCAGTGGGGAGAGAAGGGGAGTTAAGGTTCGCACACACGAAAATCGGTGGGGACGAGGCCTGTGCACGTGTAGGAGACGGAGAGGGGCGAAGGGAGTCGAACACGGCCGAAGGTGAAACCCGCGAGCCGTCGTAGCCTCGCAGTCGGCGCGAGACCGCGCTACTGGAAGGGTCGGTGTGTTGTCATATTATGTGAATGGTACGCAACGCCTCTCTCAGATTCTCTCTTTCCACCATTTCTCGCTTCTAATCAGCTCGTACGCGGCAGAAAAGCGACAACGACTAAACTAAATCATAACAGGAGCGAGCGTAGAGAAAACCGGGAGGAAAGAAGATACGCTACCGTGGCTCCGGTGTCCGCGAAACCACCCTTTCCCGCTCGACTTCAGTGATTGAACGAGGGACAGTTTTGTTCTTTGTCATCTCGCGCGTAAGGGAGACGCGTTCGCAGATCGTATCGATAATCGAGTATTAATCGCGATACGATTGAACAGCCACCGGTCGCTGTACACGATATTTACAATTCGATAAATCATCGAAGAAACGTGGAGATGTAACACGAGGAAATCCACGATCGGTTGGATACCGACGGACCGAAGAATTCTGTGATCTCGATGTGCCTGGTTGTATATTATTTACGAAACTTATCGGCTTCGAGCGTCCTACGACGCGATCAACAAACAGAACTGAGAAGTGCGTCCGCTCCAAACGTGTCTGTTCACCGAGCTAAGGATACATTTTTTTCTGTGACGTTCGATCGTAAATACCGAGGAACATTTATCCTCCCATTTAATTTTAGTGCCATTTGTTCGAATGAAGTAAAAAAAAAAGAAAAAGATAGTGAGAGACAAAAGATTAGTGCCGTGCTGTTATAGATATGAAAACGTAAGAAAGATAACAGCCTCGCGGCGTGTATTGTGTGTGATATTTCGATCGCGATCGATCATCGGAGGATTATTGGTGTTGATTTGTTGTTTCATAATCGTCTATACGTATTGTATTTCCGGTGTATTTGTGTCGACCGGTCGTTGAAGAAACTCCTCGCGACGGCTCGGAGACGATCGCTAGCTGTGATAACGAACGTTCTTTCGATTTTAAGTAAGTTCAGTGCCTGGCCTCTCTGTGATTTCGTGACATTATATTTACCGTCGGAGCTTTACTTCCAACCCATCGTCCATTCCACTTAAGTGTCGCAAGGTGGAAAGGGTTGAATTTTGAGAGGATCGGATGCGCGGGAACCTTTAACCATTACTGGGTAAGCCAGAGAAGGCGATTTTCCTAAGCGTTGACATAAGCAGCACGCCGCTTATGTCGATGATACACGCGTTATCTTTGCAAGGTTACACGATCATCTTTCGATCCGTACAATGTAATTATCGATAGGTATCCTCGTATCTATCGAACACGTACGCTTCGCTGTTTCATGTTCCCCGATTCGAAAAAGTATACGCTTTAGAAACATTTTATGAATTCGAAATGAACATTGAAGAAATCTCTCGGAACGGTAGTGATACATTGTCATCTAAACAAATCGGAGCAGCGACGCAACGTGCCGTTTTAAGCTCCCGCCACAACGTGCAACTCGATCGCTTTAACGCGTTAAATGCCACAGTGAAAACAGACGCGTGTAGTCAGACACATCGAAACGCCACTGATTTTTAAATTTAAGCTTTCAGTTTAATACTATTGTTATTCAATATTTGTTTCCTCTCTTATGATGAATATAATGGTTAAAATAATTAAAATTGAAAAATTAGGTCACTAGGTTTCGAGTAACTAATTCCTGACTTGATTCCATAGTGTCGCAACCCAGGATTTCTAGAATACAATGTATCACATTATTCCTAATGAACGCCATTATGAATTCTTTCCCTTCGAATTTATATTATTTTATAAAAATCATTTTAACAAGGACAAGTTTCGCGGGATACGATAACTAATAGTTGGTACAAAAGCCTTTTTCTTTTCTTCACCCTCGGTGCACAGCACACACAGGTGCATTTATAATCCGTGTCACACAACTTGCCCTTCCATCGTCACGTGCGAGGGCGGTTTAACAGCATGCGGCGAGCTCGTTGAAGCGTCGCGGCGCTAAGCGTCGGAAGTAGAGCGGATGCGCATGTTAGGGCGAACGCGTATGAACACATCTCTTTTCACGCTCGACCTTTTCCCTCTTATAACGTCGTAACGAATTTATAAGCTCGTTTAATTTTATCATCGACAGATCAAACTTGAGTATAATTAACTGCTAACACTTTCATCGAATGATATTTAGAATAGAGTGACGTTAAGGTGTCGTTTATCCACGTTCCACGAGCATCCGGTTACTTCCGAACAGGGGTGCACGTAACGACGAAGCGTTTTTGTAGGATATTCAGGTGCAGCTAGTAGCGTGTCACGTGCGAGGGAGGTTTTAACATCGGAAGTGGAGCGAACACGCGCGTTAGGTCAGCCACGTAGAACGATCAGCTACGACCAATCTCTTTTACGCGTGTCCCTTCACGGCTCGTGACTCTGATGCGCGTGCTAATCCTTTGTGTCGATGTAACCAACGTACGGGCATTGCACGCGCGTGCATTCAGCTAAAAGTAACATCGACTTAAACGAATTTCATACGCGAAACAATATAGAATCGCTCGTAAATCCTCTTCCTTCGATTGTCTTCCTCTATACGCGTACACGTAGCCGAGTTATAGAATGGCGTTCGCAAATCGCGTTGTTTCGTATCGGACAGGACGGTATTGAAATCGTACGGATAGGGTATTCAAGGGAACGGAACGGAACACGAAACGCGAGACAATATATTCGATTTCGCGATTGACGAAAGAATTTAACACCGACGCGTAAACAAACGTGAAGGAATCGTATTCGAGCGAAGAAAATCAGTGCATACACGACGCGTCCCTCGACTTCGTACGTAACGTAAGTTTATTGACGCGCGAACGGCCTGGTCAATGGAACGCTAATCGTGCGAACTGTGCCTCCTATTGTCTCGCTCGCGTTCCTTTACCTGTGTAACGATTAAACGAAGAAAAAGCGTGTTTCGGACGCGTGAAAAAGACACGCTGCAAGACGACAGTGCACCAGGTGTCAGGTGTCACGGCTGTCCGGTTTCGTTTGCAAACACGCCGAACAACAAAAACGATTTCTTGTCGATCCTCCTCGAGGAGTACCTCCTCCAGGTGGTTCCTTCTCTGCTCGTCTGCTTCTTCCAACCGCGGCGAGAAAATATTGTTTTTGCTCGTCGACTCCATAAAATGCCACTCGAACCCTGTTATTTCTTTTCGATCCCGAGGCGAGGCTAACTTACGAGAATCGTCGCCACGATCATCGATACGCCGAACAACCTGTCAGTTATTACGTTCTAACGGGCTTACGAGCACCGTGGAATTACCATTTTTTTTTTACCGATACAGTGGAACATTGATTATCGTATCGCTATCAAAATTTCAAGCAAGTAACAATGTTTACCTGTACTTTGGAACAGGTGTACCGTTCTAATGGTTTGTTCAAAGCGACGCGAACGTCCCCTGGATTTCACAATTCCTTGCACGACTGATGTTAAGAGAGGTGGCCGATGAAAAAGACCGCGGAGCACCGCCCACCGAGCGACTTGTCATTCGTCGATCCGTATCTTGCCGGACGATTTATCGTGTTTTATGCACATATTCGCGCCCGCCGGTTGGCGCGGCGGCGACGGTGCAGCGTCGTCGCGTCCCGCATGCGGGCAGCTGCTGCATCAAGAGCAGGGCTACCCTGCGCATAATGATACATTGCGCCGGACATGAAAGTTATAAGCTTTAATTCGAGGCTCGCGCGATTCGCCGTACGGTGACCGTATATCGATCGCCAATTTGCTATGCAGATACCAAGGCCTTTCGGTGCGTTCCCTGAACGCAGCCCCTGCAATCTTTTCCCCCTCTGCTCTGGCTGCCACCCTTTACACCCTTTGCTCTCGTTCTCCGGGCCCTCTAAGGGAACAGTGCTCGTGCAGAAATAGAATAAGCGAAGATTAAAGTAGAGCCTATCTCTGCGATAAGATTATACACGTCGAGGATCCGAAGACGATTATACAGCTTGTCGTTCGTTCGTGCGACTTTTCTTATTTCTCGCCCGTTCCACGTCCTCCTGTTCTCTTGATACGTGCATCCAAACGGAATTTCACTAGTTCGTGGAAATGTTCATCGGGACGCGTCGTGGGGGACGATGATTCGTTTCAATGACAGCCGATCGGGGGTGAGAAACTCGTTGGATAAATTGATGCCGGCTGATCGAATCGGATCCACGATGAAATGGACGTATTCCATGGTGGCCGCAGACACACGCGGCACACCGCAAGAAAGGAAAGGGAAAACGTGTCGGGACCGGTATCGGGATCGTTCGCCATTTCGTTCGTACGGGATGCTCGAACGCTGGCAATCTCTTGCGGCGCGGCTCTTATGCCGCAATTAGGAAATCCATTTGGTGTAATTGCGCGAACGAAGGAGATCGCCGTCCCGCAGCTACCGTGCTTAATCAAACGCCCTTAATCGTTTACCTATACCCATAGACCGATATCGAGAATCACCGCGTATTTCCCCGTGCAGAACCTTGTCACGATTCCGTGATGGAAACCACCGCGTTTCTCCTGGCTAATTCGACCAGATCGAGCCTTGAATTCGCGAAAATGGCGATGGGATGCACCGCGAAGGAAGAAGACGATAACGAAAACGACGGTGTCGATCGTTGACGACCGTAATGGCCATCGATTAACGATTTAACGATCGCTCTTTGATAGTCTGCCGTAAATCGTCGATATCTCTACGAAACTGAACGTTTACGAAGACGATCGATGTTTCATGAACGTGTTCACCGTGAAAAAAAAAATGAAAGAATATCGTTGTTTCAATGTTTCGATCGATTCCTTCTTTATCTCCCGGTGGACTGTAATAAATAAGAATTAGTAACGGTTGTTTTTGTTCGTCGAC